TTGCCTCCATCTCCGATACTCAGACTTTGGGCTGAGACTATTCAGAAGGGATTTCAGATTAGCAATGATCAATCAATCAATTAATCTTTTCAAGGCTTTATTAAGCTCCTAGAGTCAAAGAGTAAGAGTCAAGATGGAAAAGATTGACAAATTCAACTACATTAAGACTTCTGATCACCAAGACACCAAAACAGAAAAGAAAAACCCCAAACTGAGAGAACACATCTGCAAACACACGACCAAAAATATTATTATCTAGAAAAAAAAATAGAAAGAATCCTTATAAATCTGTAAGGAAGAGATAAATGACCCATATGAAAGAAAGAAAGAAAAAAAAACACGGCCAAAAGACATCAATCAACAGACATTTCAACAAACATGTGAAAGGATGCTCAACCTCATTTGTAATCAGAAAAACATAACTTAAACCACAATGAGAAATTCTGGGAATATCCTGAAGTGTCAGAAACTGAGGAAGCTATCACAGACTACTTGGGTCACATCAAAAGGACTCAGAGCCAACATTCACTAGCCAAAGATGGGAAAATTTGGACTTTGACAAGGGTAAGAGTTACAATGGACTGAAACTCATCCAATATGTTTAAATCTATAAATTCATAAAAACATATTTTAAAAAAAACAACTGGTAACCTTTTGAGGATGAGAAAAAAACAATTCATTATTATTTATTTATTTTTATCTATCTATCTATCTATTTCGCAGTGTTCCCTCCTCCACTCTCATCCCTGGTAACCAACAAAGAAAGCTTCTTTCCATACATAAACCTTTCAGAAGGAACCAATTCATTATTCTGTAAACTGGATAAGTAAGTGAAAAAAAAATTAAGTATTTATCTTGTTTTCCCTATACCAACTAAAACCCCCCCAAAAAATCAAACCCACTACCAATGACTCGATTCTGACTCACAGCAACTCTCACTGGGTTTCCAAGGCATAAATCTTTATGGAAATAGATGGTCCCGTCTTCCTTCCACAAAGTGGCTGGTGGGTTTGAACTGGCAACCTTCTGGTTAGCAGTCAAATGCCTTAGGCACTATGCCACCAGAGCTCCTATACCAACTATACCTGGATAACTAGTAAATGAGAGAAAGTGGTCCATTCCAGCTATACATTAAAATAAAATGATAGAAGTAGAATATAATTTTTTGCAATGCCAGTGAATTAATAGGTCTATACATTGAGCATCAAGAGCTGCTAACACCAAAAAGAAATATGAAAACCCACACTCAGGTGCCTTCTAATGAAAGAACATACTACCATTGATGGTCTTGCCAAAGGGATTAAACATGGGCTTCATCAAGCAGCCTCTGGACTCAGCTGCCAATGTGCAGGAAATACAGAGAGAGGTACACGCTAAACTGCACCAGAAGCGTGCGATCAGCAAAACTCAAACTGTTGGAAATTCTACAGGCCAAAGTGCCAGGTTCTTTAGCAAATACATTGTAAGGAAAATAAAAGAATGGAACAGGACCCTGTAGATTTGTGGGGTAAATAAAGATTTAACTCTATCTCCTAGGGAGACAGGAATGCATAGACGGGAAGGACACAGGGAAAGGGTGATCACAGGAGAAAGTGGATGGAGAGCTGCTCTACTGTGGGGATTGTAATCAGTGTCACAAAACAAAATGTGTATGAACTGTTGAATGTAAAACAAATCTGCTTCATAAAATTTCACCCAAATCACAATGTTTAAAAAAAAAAATTTACTGTATCTCAAGTAATTTGGCCTTCATCCTTGTTCCTGAGAGATAAATCTAAACCCTGGGAATTTACAAATTATTTAATGCGCCTCTGTTATCTAGATCTCTAAATCACACCTGGGGGTTTGTGCTAATGGGTGGGGGCTGGCCTGACCTCGGATTATGCGATGAAGCCAATAAAAGCTCTTGATATGGAAGCTCCATGGGCTTCCTGGTTGGTGAAAGACAATGATGCAAGTAGGAGGGTAATGCATCCCTTGGGAGATGGAAGCTACATGCTGAGAACCCTCCCAGACCTCATCCTATGAGTCTCTTAGTTTCTATCCTTTTTTCCTACAATAAAACTATAATTGTAACTATAGCACCTCTCATGAGTTCTGTGACTCATTCCAGTGACTTAATGAACCCAAAGGAGTTGTGGAAGCCAGCAAGTCAGGTGTGAGGGAGCCGAGGGAGAACTTCTGAGCTTGAGGTTGGCATCCTTAAGGGGTAAAGGACAGAGAAACCCCAAATTTATAGCAAGCAGGTCAGAAGTGAGGGTGTCATGTGGACTCACTTGAAGCTGGTGTCAGAGAAGTCCTGCATGGTCAGCTGGTATTAGTGAACAGTGAAGTGGTAAAGTGAGTGTAAGAAGGACATGGAGGAGGTATCTTCCAATCTCCTCTAATTCTAACTCTCTAACAAGGGGTAAACAAATCACCATCAGCAGCCTAAGGCTGATTCCTATGAGCCAGAAGTCAGACATGCTGCTACCCTCCAACATTTTTTTTTTAATCAATTCTGATACCAGTCACTCCTTCCATGGCATTCTCTATGTCTCTGCTGGGTTTGGTGATTCACTGAAATGATCACAAAGAACTCACAGACAATACTCATGATCGTGGGAATTATTAGGGAAGCAACAGGTTACAATTCAGGTTCAGGAACGTTTCAGGATACAATTTTTCAATCAGGACAGCCTTTTCTCAGCCTTGCCACATGCTCACTTCTCTCTGGCCCTCAGCCTGGCCTCTGCCCTGCTCAGACAAGTGTTACAAAGCTTGTTTTAACTCCACTGATAGGTACATCCCACTCTGCCAGCAAGCCTCCCTTCCCAAAGGCACTCAGCTTTCTTGCTCCATGTGCCAGCAAGCCTGCCACTCTATCTCATGCCAGTCTTTTGGTTCTACTGCCTCTGCTGTCACCGCTTCTCTGCCATCTCTTCTCCTCGTCTCAGCACAGGGATCTCGGGTCCAAAGGACATGCTCTACTCTTGGCTTTTCTTTCTTTATGGTAGCGAGATTCCCCCCTTTTCTGTCTCTGAGAGGGCTCATTTTAAGCCTAGTGAGATGACAAAACTGACCAATCCCCACATTAGGGTTCCATATACCTTATTTGGGAGCTCTGGTAGCATAGTTGCTAAGGCACTTGCCTGCTAATCAGAAGGCTGGTGGTTCAAATCCACCAGCCACTCCTCGGAAGGAAGATGAGGCAATCTACTTCCGTAGTGATATTGCCTCAGAAACCCAAGGAGGGGTCGCTATGAGTCGGGTTCGACTTGATGGCACATAACAACAACAACAACATACTTTATGTGCATGCTCCCACCCCCACAAGGGTGTTATGTACTTTATTTACATTATCAATAAGATAGGCAATCCCCTTGGTGGACCACAAGCACCTCACATTTGCATAGTCCCATCCAGTCATTTGGTGGAAGTTACAAAGACTATGGCTAGAAGAGCCATACCAAGTAATTCCCTACACTGCAGTGTAGATCTGTTATGTCTTCACAGTTGAGGAAAGAAAAGTGTAGATTTTGATTTATTTAATTTGAGATTATCACATGACTCAAGATTATTGTTGTCATTAGATGCTGCTGAGTCAATTCTGACTTACAGTGACCCCATGTGACAGAGTAGAACTTGCCCGTAGGGTTTTCTAGATTGTAATCTTTACAGCAGCAGATCACCAGGTCTTTCTCCTGTGGAGCTGCTGGGTGAGTCTGAACATCCAGCCTTTTAGTTAGCAGTCAGCAAAGTTCTATTTTTTTTTGTCCTGGGTGATGATTACAAAGATGTTTACCTTATAACAATTCACTTAGATAAAAAATTAAAAAA